ATATTCATCTCGTCTTCACTTTCCAACTAATGCTGGTATCTTTCCCTTGTGAGTTTTGGCAATCTTCGGGCCTGACTGTTGCAAAATAGGTTAGAGAGCAATTGTTTCAACCGCAATTGTTTCAACCTCTGATTTTTCAGGTGACTCAGCTACAGATCATCTTCGGCTTACGAATCTTTGTCGTACGGTATTCCATCTGTTCGCACCTCCACCTGGTAAGCAGCCACTCTTTCCACTTTCGCCGGATGGAAAGTTCTTATGTAAAATGTGGGACGGAACTGAGAAAAAAGCGTTTATGATGGAGCTGTTGCAGTATTTCCGTCAGGTCCGAACAGTAAAACCAAAGTCAAGTCGAGACTCAAGTGCTGAGCTTTATTTATTGTGTACGGGTAGAAATAAACCTTGATTATCGTTGAGTGTTGAGCTTTGCTGGTCATATCCATGCATTTTTACAATTTTCAGTTGCATCTCTTATCCCTCTCATTTCAAATTTTCAATTTTAGTATTCAATAAGCATGCCTTGGAGACATGCGGTGAAGGTAAGAAGCAGCAATTCTGATGTTAAATACCGTCAGCGCGGTCACTTTAGGTCGTCTTGGCAGCAGGTGAAGCGGTTGCGAAGGCATTGACACGGGCAGTTAGAGAGGAAATCAGACGTATGTAATGTGTTATCATTTTTATGAGTACATTTCGATTTTTAGAAAGTCAGCAAGCTGCTGCAAGGCATGCAACTCAAACCGGTCAATCTGCTAGTGAAGCGAGGGAAAGTGCTAATGCTAATGCACGAATGGGAATAAGTTTAGAGGTAAACTTATGCTTGGTGTCAGATATGTCAATCAATCTTTAGTGTGAAGATCTTTATATGGTCTTTCTTTTGATCCATTGAAATTTTTTGTTTATTTTGACCAATTTACCGAATGATTTAGAATCCACTCGTTTTTATGATTTCGTATGATTTGTTTATATGAGGATAATTTCTGCAAAATTTCTTTCCCAAACTCGTTTATCCAGGAGTCATTAGTATGAAGATTGAAGTTTGAGTGGTTGGTGTTGGTCTTTGGAGTTTCTAGCTTTTGTTAGGTTATACCGAGTGATCTAAAGATTCACTGGTTTTTGTGACTTCGTAAAAAGATATGATATGTAAATAACTTTTACAAAAGGTACCCAAAAACTTTTTACTTTAGGAGTCATTGAAAATCTTAGATGTCAAGCCGCCAATCGACCCTGATGAAGTTGCGAAAAAATACGAGCATTTGTTTGAAATCAACGATAAAACCAAAGGAGGATCGTTTTACTTGCAGTCTAAAGTGAGCTTTTTGTTAAGCTTTGAGCTTAAGACAACTTTTTGCTACAGGTTTATCGAGCGAAAGAACGGATAGATGAAGAATTACGGAGACAAGGAATTGAAGTAAAACAAAAGACAGAAAGTACAGAGCAAAAGAAAGTTGAAGAAGAGAATAAAAGTTGATCGTTCATCAAAAATTATATATTAGTGCCGATAATCGTTGTCTAGATAATTCTTATTCTCACTTTTACCGGTCGCTGTGCTGACTTTCACTAGGGTAGCCCATAGGATATGAGTTGTTGTTAATTATGAGAATATAATGCAATGAGATTCCTGACATAAAGCTCATCAATATATTCTGTTGATCTTGATCACGCTTCTCTCGCCCACATTGGTATAAGTTTTTCCTTCTGATTTTCATCACACAGCTTCTTTTGCTAATGAAGAGCATGAACAGTGAAGTTCGAGAGCTGTGCTTGGTTAACGGCTTGTGAGCAAAATCAGTAGTGTCCATCACTGATTAATACATTCACGTCAAAACCGATTTTTCAAGTACTGCCATTTCGGAGCAGAGCATATCTCGCAATATCGAGTTTGCGTATTATTTTGGCCACTGAAACACGGGACTCATGTCTAAACTGTCATGTACGC